TTGTCCTTTTCATGTGTGTTCATTTTTTTTAAAATTGTATCCTTTGGTATATATGGTTGTGACTATTTTCTTCCATTATTTGATCTGAGGAAGTGGGTCTGGCCCACGAAAGCTCATCACCGGCTAAACCATCTTGTTAGTCTTTAAAGTGCTACATAGTCCTGTATGTTGTGGGGTCTTTGGGTTTGCCTTTAGCTTCTGGAGCCTGTAGGGAGCACTGGGATCACGGCTGGGAGCTTTTTGCACAGCCACAAGGGCTAGAAACGTCCCTTTTCTTTAACAGCAAAGGCAGAAATCCTCACAGATCACTTGAGTCCAGGACCTGGGCTCTCGGGAAACCGGTCACTCTGACAAGGCTCGTGACAGGGCCGTGAGAGCTGGGGCACTGCTGTCACTGCTGCTTCTGAGGCCGGGGACTGTCCAGGAGGCTCGCAGGCTGCACACGATGGTGATGGAGTTGCAGGCCTCACAGGAGACTGTTTCATCCCAAACAGCAAGAGAACAAACTGAGCCGCCCAAGGTAGCCTGGGGGCGTTACAGGGAGGAAAAAGGTGGAGGGTTGTGATAGAGAAGAAACAGGCGAGCCGGGAGCGGAGGGGTAAATGGAACTGCTTTATTGCCCATGCAAGTTCACCTCTAACAGTCAGCACAACGGCCGAGTGGCCACAAATTGGCAACACTTCCACCCTTTTATGGAATCATACAATCCTTGGGCTGGCAGAGCCTGCAGGAGCCATCGAGTCCAGCCCCCTGCCCAAGGCCGGACCAACCCCGACTCAATCATCCCAGCCAGGGCTTGGTCAAAGTTCAAACCTCTAGGGATGGAGATTCCACCCCCTCCCAAGAGAACCCAGCCCAGCGCTCCCCACCCGCCTAGGAAAATAGTTTTTCCTAATCTCCAACCTAGACCTCCCCCACCACAACTTGAGCCCATTGCTCCTTGTTCTGCCATCCCTCACCACTGAGACCAACCTCTCTCCAGCCTTTTGCAACCTGCCATCAGGAAGTTGAAGGCTGCTCTCAAATCCCACCTCGCTCTTCTCTTCTGCAGACTAAATAATCTCAAATCCCTCAGCCTCTCCTAACACGTCATGGGCTCCAGCCCCCTCAGCATTTTGGCAACTCTCCACCAGACCCTCTCCCATGCGTCCACATCCTTTCCGTAGTGGGGGGCCCAGTTCTGGATGCAACACTCCAGATGTGGCCTCACGAGTGCTGAATAAAGGGGAATAATCACTTCCCTAGATCTGTCAGCAGTGCTTCTCCTAATGCCCCCCAATACGCCATTGGCCTTCTTGGCTACAAGGGCCCCTGTTGACTCATCTCCAGCTTCTCATCCACTGGAACCTGAGGGGCCTTTTCTGATGAACTGCTGCTTAACTAGTCAGTCCCCAGCCTGTACCAATGCCTGGGATTCTTCTGTCCCGCGGGCAGGACTTTGCACTTGTCCTTGTTGAACCTCATCAGATTTCTTTTGGCCCCATCCTCCAGTGTGTCCAGGTCACTTTGGACCCTATCCCTGCCCTCCAGTGTATCCGCCTCTGCCCTTGGCTTGTCATCTGTGAACTTGCTGAAGGTGCAACCCATCCCCTCATCCAGGTCATGAATAAAGATGTTGAATAAACCCAGCCCTAGATCCATACGTGTGAGCAGAGCTTTCAAATAACTTCTCACTGCACTGGCCTTAGGTGGTGATAGGGAGCCAGGGAACTGCAATGCAGTAAAGAGGCTGGGCGCTTTCTTTTTGTCCCGCTCCTTTGGAGCCCTGAAGCACAACTTGGGACTGGCCAGGCAGACTAACTGCAGTGTTTCCCACAGTGCTGGGCGGCTCTGCCTGCTGTAACCTCAGCACACGTGCAGAATGGGCTTCTGACCCCACATTACCGGGTGACTAGAGGCCTGGATTTCACTCAGAATCCCACATGCTGCCAGCCAGCGCTTTGATGTCCGAAAGGAAAGGGGAGAGCAGTCTGAGTTGCCCCAGGAAAAGGGGGCCCCCACATTAGCCAGGGGTGCGTGTGTCACACACAATGGCTCGGGGGCACTATGTCTGGCATATTCTGAACAGTGTGGAGTGCACGGATTGTGGCCAAGAAGAACACAAATCGGGCAATAATAGTCACTCCCCAGGCTGCACCACGGTTCTTGTCTCACGAGCTGGGTGAGGCCTGTCCAACGAGCCGGCATCGCCCCTCGAGCACCAAGTGTGGACGGAGCCTG